CCTGTGCTCAGGAGTCGATGTTCGATTTGATCATAAGATCGTCTGACTTACAAAGCTATGCATAGATGATCGTTTTAAGCAAAACATGCAGCTGACAACCAATCATCAAAACATCATCATGACCACCAATCATGCTGCTGGTACCCTCTGGTGTAAATGAAAAAATATATGAAAAGCACGCGACAGAAAGAACTAGAGAATTGAACAGGAACACTTTCTGCGGATACAAGATTTAATCTTGCAAATAACATTGCACGCCGGTTCACGTGGAACCGAGTAGAAGTAGTTTAGTAGCCATTTACTCAGAGCTTCCGCCCAATGCTACAGTTTAAAATGGGTTGGTCTGTTGACTCAGGGTCATAAACGATCCTTGTGGTAAACACGGGGGATGCAGCACGGCCGACAGCGAGAAGAACGAAGCATTCACGAAGAGAATTGGCTCATTCAACTCCAGTGCGGTACCAAGAAGTAAGTAAAGCAGCATCGAAAGCTGATTCTTCCGAATAGTTTGGTGAGGTGCTGAAGCCGAACTTCCAGATGGTAAATGAAGTATCATAGCACACCATTCGCCGCCTCCTTTATGGAAATAAGAACAGTCTGAGATTCCAATAAGGCAAATCCAGGGATCACTTTCTCACAAAAAACAAGTGTACTTCGGCGATGCAAAGAGCACTTTCAGAATTAACGTAGCTAAGACCGATCACAGGGAGACTCATCCAAGAGCAGGAGACAACAGACGTAAGTCTTTCAGAAGATGAAGTCACAGAAACTGTAAAAGGCTCAAATTGCAAGGCTGCTGCCGTTGATGAAAAATCCATCCAGAAATGTTTTAAGCTCTATGCAAACAAGACATGACAAGACATCTGTTTGTTAACACGTGGCTATCCATCTGAAATGCCTAAGGAGGAGTCACCGGTGATTTGTAGAACAGCGACTGTAGTAGGGAAAACATTGGAATTGCTCTAAATATCGGGAAATCATTTTATTGAGTTTCTGGGATGACGTTTAAGCAAAGGTACCAGAAGGCGTAATAGCTGACTCCATGATACAGGAATAACATGCGATTTCAGGTCTAACCGAAACATCTTTGATCAGATATCCGCCTTGTGCCAGACCGTTGAGAAATCGTGGCGTTCGCTCATCCGGAGAAGATCTGCTTTACTGAACTGACGAAAGCCCACGACCCAATTTCGCGCAGTACGCTATGAGCGTGACATCAGGCTATTAGGATAGAAGACCAACTGACTACCAACTGCTACGAGTCGTTCAGTCACTGTGTGCTGATAGCAGATGCTACGTCAGTGCAAACGGCGTTAAGTCGAAACCCTTGAACGCTGGAATTCGCCAGCGCCAAGACTGTATTCTGTTCCGCTTCCAATTTGTGTGGAGAAATTTGCTGTTTCGAGATGACCTTGCTTTGTTGCCGTCTTCTTAAACTGATTTCCAGCTCACTTTGGCAAGGTTGACGGCCGAGTGCGAAGTTACCCGCACGTGTGTAAACTTTTTCAAAATGCAAGTCTAATGCTCCGGCTTTACCGATCCCAAGCCCGGATGAGAAAGGAGGAGGGTTGGAGACCGTGGCAATTCTCCGTAAAATTCAGCCACCTGCCACTCATGGTATTCACGCTATCAAAATTCGTATCGGCTCGGTCGTCGCCCGGACTGCGAATGGCCGGGCAGGCTGTCAGGGGCTGAGACACACTGCGAAAAGTCGGCGATCAGAACCTGCTCATTGCCCTCTGCCAGCCGGGGCGCTTAACGATACCACTACGGCTGACGATCACCGACAGAACGACGACGAAGTTCTCAGCAACGACGAACCACTCAGCAACGGAGTCGTTACCCGTTC